GAATGCGGCACTGCAGCCATGAAATTAAAAGACGCCTGCTCCTTGGGAGGAAAGCGATGGCGAACCTAAACAGCATGATAAAACGTAGAGACATCACCCTGCCAACAAAATTCCACATAGTCAAAGCAATGGTATTCCCAGTAGTCATGTATGGCTGCGGGAGTTGGACGATAAGGAAGGCCGAGCGCCGAAGAATAGGTGCTGGAGAAGACTCTTGAGAGTTGGACTGCAAGAAGATCAAATCAGTCAATCCTAAAAGAAATCAACCCTGACTGTTCCCTGGAAGGCCAGATAATGAAACTGAAGCTCAAATACTTTGGCCACCAAATGAGAAGGGAGCACTCCCTGGAGAAGAAGACCCTGATGCTGGGAAAGACTGAAGGTCAAAGAAGACGGGGACGGCAAAGGATGAGATGGTTAGACAGTGTCATCGATGCAACGAACATGAAATTGAGCCAACTTCAGAGGACGGCGGAGGACAGGAGGGCCTGGCGGGAGATGATCCATGGGGTCGCGAAGAGTCGGACTCGACTGTGCGACTGAACAACAACAAGAAAAGAAGAGGAAGAAGAAGAGATTGGATTTATACCCCACCCTTCACTTGGAGTCTCAGAGCGGCTTACAAACTCCTTTCCCTTCCCCTCCCCACAACAGACACCCTGTGAGGTGGGTGGGGCTGAGAGAGCTCTGACACAAACTGCTCTTTTTCAAGGACAGCTGTGCCAGAGCTTGTGACTGACCCAAGGTCACACCAGCAGCTGCACGGGGAGGAGTGGGGAATCAAACCCGGTTCTCCCAGATTAGAGTCTGCATACTTAACCACCACACCAAACTGGCTGTCTCCCGGCTAGCTTGAAAACACAGAATTTTTAACCCCAGATGAGTTTTGCAGATTGGATCGACTGCTATGGGCATATTTCCCACAAGATCTGGAAGGTGGTGGTGGGGAGAAATAGATTTGCCTGCTACAGTACAAAGAGGGAAGCCTGTCTTTGGATGCTCCGCTCTGGTTGATGCATGTGGGGTTTTCTCTTTGGACAAAGAGTAACCCTCTTACCAGCTAGAAAGCTACGGGTATATATGGCTCTAGAAGGGGAAACTGTACAACGTCACGGTCCGTCAATGGCAATGCACTTCTAAGGGGAGAAAAATGCTTCTTTGCAAAGAATAGCTTCATAACTGGGCAGTCATGGAAACAGAAGTGGAACGCGGCCAGGTCTCAAACCCACCACAGATACTCCCACTCTAGAATCGCTGAAGGGCAATTAGCCGTACCTCATCAGGACTTCTGCAATGCGGAATCCGATCCCAGAGCCACCTCCGGTGATGAACGCTACTTTGCCCCTGGAAAAGAGGAGGAGGGATATTTTCACATGGTGCAAATCAGAATCTGTACGTGACTTTTTGTCATGTACACTCAGAAATGACATTATAACATCAAGCAGGGAACGGCCACACTTAAATTTTATTTGTCTTCTCAAAGCACAATACCACCAATATATATATAAAAACCTCTTAAAAATACAGTTTGTTGGCAGCATGTGGAGAAACATAAAAAAGGCACTTAAACACATCAACAAAGGCGCTACCAGCACAGTCGTCATAACTGTTTAAAACTGCTCTTGATATCCAGGCTAATGAAACAAAGATGAAAATACTTGACTGAACTTTACAAACACAGTGATAACCAAACGCAAAATGCAGGATGCGGTAAATGATTTCTGTCCTTTAAAATCTGGCTTCCAGGGAACACCCAAACAAAAATGAACGACCATGGGTTAAGAGGAGTTGGCAAGGGCGGTTGAAATTCTCAATAGAATATCACAATCCTCTTTCACAGACCACACAGAGAGGGGAGAACCAGAAAGATGACGACAACAACAACAAAACAGTTACTAATGACCCCAGTAACAATACTATCAAGTTATAACTTCTGAATTTTTCTACTGGCCATTATTTCCCCACTGGTACAGCAACCATTTGCCGCCCTACCGAACCTGGCAAATCAACGTACTTTCAAAGTTAGAATGTAATTAAACAGCCTTCAAGAAAAACTGTCCACCATTAAAGACATTAATCTCAGACATCATTTACAGGCCAAGGAGGTTCTACACTTCCATTGGGAGGTGAGGTGGGAACCTCAGCAGCGACGGTTCGGCGAGCGGCGGCGGCAGCGGAGTGGCATGTAATGGCGGTGGTAGTCAAGGCAGTGAGTGGAAGAAAAAAGGAGACGCGACATCTAGCGGTGAACCGGCAGCGAAGGCGGAGCCTGGAAGGCGTGAGGACACTTGGCGCAGGCGCAGTGGAGCCTGAGGGACGGAGCCAGTGCCGCGCTGATGCGATCAGCACGACGAATGGGCCCGCCAACTCCAAAAGATCTCCCAAGGACGGAGGGAACGAAACAATACTATCAAGTTATAACTTCTGAATTTTTCTACTGGCCATTATTTCCCCACTGGTACAGCAACCATTCGCTGCCCTACCGAACCTGGCAAATCAACGTACTTTCAAAGTTAAAATGTAATTAAACAGCCTTCAAGAAAAACTGTCCACCATTAAAGATATTAATCTCAGAAGTCATTTACAGGCCAAGGAGGTTTTACAATTTTTATAAATTTCTCTGAAGTCCCTTTTAAAGGCGTCAATGTCAAATCTTAAAAGTTCATTTTTTTCATGTAGATCTTTATTGTTAGCATTTGCTTTGTATAATAAGAGACTCCTGTGAAGACTTGTTGGCTTCATCTTGAAATGTTCTGCTGCTAACCAATGATTTCCCCTCAGATGCATCATCTTTATTGGCAGTTGGCATAATTTAAATTAACACCTTTGATGAAGCAGAAGTAGATATTGACTTAGTAGGGTCCCTAATAGGATCAGAAGGTTCTTGTAGTGGCAGCTGAACTGCAAACCACTCTGCAATTCAGGCAGCTGGATTAATACACTCAACTCGGTTCTTGTAGTGGCAGCTGAACTACAAACCACTCTGCAATCTCAGGCAGCTGGATTAATACACTCAACTCCATGCTGGTCACACAATTGAATCAAGAGATGAGCCAGTTTGGTGTAGTGGTTAAGTGCAGTGGATTCTAATCTGTAAAACCAGGTTCGATTCCCCCCTTGAAGCTCGCTGGGTGACCTTAGGCAAGTCACAGCACTCTTAGCCTAAAAATAAGCATAGCATGCCACCTAGTTCTGGAGAACCAGGTTCGATTCCCCCTTGAAGCTCGCTGGGTGATCTTAGACAAGTCACAGCACTCTCAGCCTAAAAATAAGCATAGCTCGCCACCTAGTGGTGCCAAAAGAGAGCTACAGCTTTGGTAGCCAAAAAATCCCCCCAGTGGGGGTTCTCCTGGCTGTTCCACGCACAATGACATATGATAATTTCAATTTCGCACAACAGTCTTGTGAGGCAGATCGGGCTCAAAGGCCGTTGGAAGAAAGCCCTCAGGGAAAACAAATGGAGATGGAAGTTTCCTCCCCCCAATTTTACTAGGCTTTCACAACTCTAGTGCTGAAACAAACTTCACTTAAACTATAAGAGACTCAGGGCAGGTTTTTGGCCTGTGCAAAAGTGATCTTGGCTACACTCACTTGAGGATGTCCAGGCTAAAGAGGTTGCAATATTCCTGGAGACAGTCATCGGTGTCCACATCAGGAGGCGCCTCGCACGCAGAGCCTTGCCAGGATGCGGCGGGCTCTGTGGAGGGATCTGCAGAAAAAAGGCCACTGAAAGACAGTCACCCCAAGCCCAACGTGGAGAAGCAGCCACCCCTTTCAGCCTGTAGTCCCCCAAATACCACTGATACTGTGATTTAGCTGGACTTGCATGCAGCCAGATCATCTCGAGGAGACATGGTCACAAGCAGCTGCCTTCTACTGAATCAGACCCTGGGCCCATCAAGGACAGTATTGCCTACTCAGACTGGCAGCAGCTTTCCAGGATCTCAAGCAGAGGTCTTTCCCATCACCATCTGCCTGGTCCTTTCAACTGGAGATACCAAGAACTGAACCTGGGACCTTCTGCAGGCCAAGCAGAGGCTCTACCACTGAGCCACAGCCCCTCCCTAGCACAGGACACAAACAAAACTGTTTTAGTTTGGTGTAGTGGTTAGGAGCAAAGACTCTAATCTAGGAGAACCGGGTTTGATTCCCCACTCCTCCACATGCAACTGTTGGTGTGACCTTGGGACAGTCACAAGTTCTGTCAGAGCTATTATCTCAAGAGCAGTTCTCTCAGAACTTTCTCACCCCCACGTACCTCACAGGGTGTCTGTTGTGGGGAGGGGAAGGGAATGGAGATTGTGAGCCACTCTGAGACTCCTCTGGGTAGTGAAGGGCGGGGTATAAATCCAATCTCTTTCTTATAGCCAAAACAGAAAATAAGCTGGAAAACCCCTTGATATCCCTTTAAAATCCCACCTGCTCCACCCTGTTCAAGTCATTGTAGTATACTGGTTGAACAACTATCTGGGAGACCCACGTTCGACTCCCCACTCTGCATTGGAGGCTTGCAGGGTGACCTCGGGCCAATCTTGGCCTAACCTACTTGACAGCATTGTTGTGAGAATAAAAGGGAGAAAGGGGGAGTATTGTAAGCGGCTAGGTCACTACTGGTGGGGAGTGGGAATGGACGGAGATAAATAAATAAATAATTCTCCACACCAAACAAAACCAGGGAAAAAATCCATTAAGGGGGGGGGGAAGAGTCAAATTTTATGCACTTTTAATACAAAACACAAGAAAGGAAACTTGACCGCAGCCTGCATACCCTGTACATATTTTGGCAGTTCACATCTCAGCAAAACTCAAGCAAGGACAAGCTGTAAACCAAGGAAGAGGGAGCAGAGTTCAAGTGTGCAAAAGATGGGGGGGAGACGTTTCGCAACCCGTGTTTCTGCGTCCCAGGCCCCAGCTGTGCATGAGACTGGCAAAAAGATTTCCCTTAACATGCAGGAACAGGCTGCCACATTTGCAAGGCACAGGGAAAGCCTCTGGAAGGAATCAGTAGATCAAGTTGTTTGCAAAAGGTCAAAGGAGGGGGGGGGGAATTTGTCAAGGTTTGCTGGGACGCTTGTTCGAATTCTGTCAATAAGTATCTTGTCAGGATTACAGAGGGAAAGATACTATCCAATCTGGCAGAGAGGGGCACACTTTTCCCTGCTGTATTTGTACAACAAGGTTAAGGGGAAACGGCGGAGACAGAGGTTCTAAAACTCAAGCAAGGACAAGCTGTAAACCAAGGAAGAGGGAGCAGAGTTCAAGTGTGCAAAAGATTGGGGGGGGGGGGAACCCATCTAATCTGTGGGAGGAGAAACTTCTCAGCAACTTGGCCATGGCAGCTTCACAGCAAGGTTGCCAGCCTCCAGGCGGGCCCAGGAGATCGCCTGGAATTTAAATTGATTTCCAGACCACAAGAACCGGTTTCCCCCAGAGAACATGGCTACTCTGGAGAGTGGACTGGACTCTATGGAATTACACCCAGCTGAGGTCCCTCCACCCCCAAATCTCCAGGAAGTTCCCAACCCAGGGTTGGCAACCATCTTTCACAGCCAGGCACCTGAGCCCACCCCCCCAAGCCCCTCGCTCTTCCTGCACCTCCGGGAAAGACAGAAGGGGACATCTCTTTCCCAGCCCGTTGTAATGCCCTGAAGATGAACATATTCCACGAAGCCCATTTAACATGACGCCGCCTGCTGCATGCCTCCATCCATTTCGCCTTGCTTTCATCCTGCTCTGTCCCGAGGAAGCGGCCCGGCTCCCCCCCTTTCAATACCCTTCCCGGGAGGAGCAGCAGATCCAAGCCAGCTCCTAAGCACGTGTCACTGAGCCGCTGACCCGCATTCGCCCCCCCCCCCCTCCCCGGTTGCCTCCATCGCTTGCAACCTGCAAGTTCCTCGGGGCAAGGAGCACCCGCCTGCATCGGGGAGCGGCGTCACTGAAAGAGACCTTCCCATTTGGGAAAAGACCCTCCCCGCATTGTGGGGGGCTGGCAAAGCTCCTCTCAGCCCCTCCTTGGGACCCAGCATCCCACCGAACCAGGAGCGCCCTCCCGCCTCCCTAAATCCAGCTCTGCGGACTCCCGGCAGGTAAACCTCCACTCACCTGGCCAGCGCAGGACTTTACTCCGAGCACGCCACGCCTGCGCACATGACTCACGGCAAAGCATGGTGGGGGTCGTAGTTTCCTGTGGATCGAGCGCTCGCAGAGCATTCTGGGATGTGTAGGCCTTTTTTTTTTTTTTGGTCCCGAAAGCGGTCGCTGGTTTTATTCTTAGTGTTATTGATTAATCTAGGCGCGTGTATAATTAACTAATAAATTACATTTATACTGGAGAAGGCTCTCGAGAGTCCCTTGGACTGCAAGGAGATCAAATCAGTCAATCCTAAAAGAAATCAACCCTGACCAGTGTTCCCTCTAAGCTGAGTTAGTGTGAGCTAGCTCACAGTTTTTTAGCCTCGGGCTCAAACATTTTTTTGTCTTTGCTCAGGAAGGGTGGCTCCAGTACAAACTAATTTATGCAGTAGCCAAATCACCTGCTCACAACTTTATTGCTAGTAGCTCACAAAGTAGAATTTTTGCTCACAAGCCTCCACGGCTTCGAGGGAACATTGACCCTGACTGTTCCCTGGAAAGCCAGATACTGAAGCTGAAATCCTTTGGCCACCCAATGAGAAGGGAGCCCTCACTGGAGAAGAAGACCCTGATGCTGGGAAAGATTGAAGGTCTAAGAGGACGGGGACGGCAAAGGATGAGATGGTTGGACAGTGTCACAGATGCAACGGACATGAAATTGAGCCAACTTCAGAGGACGGCGGAAGACAAGAAAGGCCTGGCGGGAGCTGGTCCATGTGGTCACGAAGAGTCGGACTCGACTGTGCAACTGAACAACAACCAAGGTCACCACCCCGGGGCTCAGGGAGGCAAGGGGACGTTTCGTGCCCCCCCGGCCCCCACGCGGGCATTGCAGCCGCCGCCGAGAACAGCTCCTTTTAAAGGAGCCCCTCCCGAGAGCTGGGGGAGCCAGAATGACCTCTCACACGTGATGTCCCAGTGGCAACGCCGCTCAGACATAACATGCAAGAGGTGGGATTTGCCCCTAGGAGTACTTGCTCCACAGAATCCAAATTCGGATCCCAAGCAAACTTTCTGTGCTGAGAGCTGTTTTCAACCAAGAGGTGCTCTTTCTCTGCTATTCCTCCGAAGGGCAGCTGCTGTTCTCCAGGATCTCAGTGGCCATGCCCCTCTCTGGGCCCGTTCAGACAGGGCATTGAAGCGGGTTAGAAACTGAGTTCTTACGCGCGATCACACGCACAACATCTGCCTCCCGTCCCTAACGGTTGCCAACCGTCACAAACACCCCTTAAACCGGTGTAGTTTGCCACTAGATACCCAAGTGGTGTTTTCCTGAGTGCTCCGGTTCTAGCCGATTTCCCCCGTCTGATCGCTCTCTGCCGGTGTCTAGCCACTTCCGTTCGGAAGCCCGAGGCTTCCGCTTTTCGACCACCATTTTTTGTTTAGCTTCAGTGATAACACGCTTGGGCGAAGCTTTGCCCCGGCGTTCATTTTTTTTTAAAAAAAGGTGGTTAGTTTTAGGCTTCGGACGAGTCCGGGACCTCACGGAGTCCAGTTTCGCTGTAAAAGTTTAAAGGGCAGTGTCCCTTCAGGGCATGCTTTTCGGGACAGGGTGTTCTGCGCCTGCGCGAAGATCTCAAATCTGTGGATGGCTGCCTATGCGCATGTGCAAAATGTAAAAATAATAAAAAAACACCCGCCGATGTGCCGCTGCGCGCCTAGTGTGGACGCCCGGGAGCGATGTGTTGCGCGGTGAGGGAGGTGAGTGTGACCGCGCTTGCCCCGGATCAAATTAGTCCACTTGGAACCGGAGCAGTTTAAACCGCTCCTAGCAGGCTGTCTGAACGCACCCTCTCTGTGGCAAAGAAGGGGACCCCTTGCGCCCTCCTGTGCTGATGACAAAGGATGGAGACGGCCTTGGAAGGCCTACCCTTTGGGGGTGGCACTCCGCCAAGGACTGGGGAATTTCTGGAGGTTTGGGGGTGGAGCGTGTGAGGAGGGGAAGGAGTTCAGCAGGGTTTAATGCCGTCCAGTCCACCCCCAACAGTGTCCCAGGGGTTCTCACTCAGTGATCTTGGGCTGGTCATTCTCTCTCATCCTAGCCTACCTCGCAGGGTTGCTGTGACTGCCCTGATCTTCTTGGAGGAAGGAGGTACAAGAGGAAATAAATAACAGAAGCCGGGATGCACCCATAGGTACGAAAAATGCCAGCGTGTAACATATGGATCCCCTCCCATGTAGGTCTGTGGAAGGCTCCAGGTTCAAACTCCGACATCTCCATTTGCGGGATCTCACAAAACAGATGGGGGGGGGGAATAATTCTCTCTGCCTGAGATCCCGAAGAGCTGCTGCCAAGCACAGTGGACAAAGTGTAGCCAGGTGTACCTCTGGCCCTCATATGTTCTCCTCCCAGTCTGTCAGAACCCAGCTTTTAGCGAGCGGAGAATCGCCACATTCCCTTTCCAAGGCCCAACCCAGATGGTTTCCATAGAAAATGGGTCTCCCGTTTTCACTTCTGAGTCAGACCCGTCTTCTCTGCCGGTTTTCCAATACTGCCTTTCACTTTCATGAAGCAGCAGCAAGATAGATGTCGGTGGGCAGTCCTGTTTGAGGAAGCAGAACAAGGTTTGAGTCCTGTGGCACCTTCCAGGCCAACAAAGTTTAATTCTGGGTAGAAGCTTTTGTGTGCATGCACGCTTCCTCAGATACCGAAGTGTGCATGCACATGGAAGCTTCTATCCAGAATTAAACTTTGTTGGTCTTAAAAGTGCCACTGGACTCAAGGGTTCTCTTGCTTCAGACCAACACAGCTACCCACCTAAATCTATCTGAAGCAACAGTGTGAGTTCACACGAATAAAACTTTGTTGGTCTTAAAGGTGCCGCTGGACTCAAACTCAACCGGAGGAAGGGGAAATGGTGTTGTAAGCAGCTTTGGGTCCCCACCGGGAAGAAAAGGGGGGATTTAAGAGTAAAATAAAATGGGCCAGGGAACTGTTGCCATGAGAAAAGGAGTGGAAGCTGTTTGGGCACAAAGGTTGGCTTCCCACCCGTCTTCCCTTGGGGGCCTCACTTCTCTGTAATCATGAAGACTAGAAACACCCTCTATTAAAAAAAGAAGTGAAGAAGCAAAGTTTTCAGGGTATCACAAAGCTGACGTCCCCTGTGTTACAAACTGGCTTCCGCTGTACCACAACCAGGTCTTTGTTTTTCTGGGACAACATGTTAAAATGCTTAAAAGTTGGTGAGTTTTCAGTATACGGACTGAAAACATTTTTCTCTTGAGAGTTCTGGCACCACTTTTTAAAGAGAGAGAGTCAGTCAGTCCTGGCCACAACAATGATAAAGGGAAAAGATTCATTGCTGCAAATGGGTTTTCTCTGCATCCGAAAGAGGCAGGTTGTGTTTGGACTAGACAGGGATCCCTCATCACAAACACACAGAACAGAATCACATTTGTGCAAATCATTTAGTGTGTGTGTGTTTTTTCCTTTTAATTCTTTTCTTTGACTTCTGTTAAGAACGGTACTCTGCCGTTTTCTCGCGACACCCGTAAAAACATTCTTCAAAACAATGGCACTTGGGTTATTCTGACGTACTCGGCAGCTTACCACAGTGGTTCTGCGTGAGGTACCTGCTCCCCTGAGCAGAGGGATAGTGGTTAAAGTGCAGCACCATCCCATGACCGCCCCCCCCCTTCAGAGCCCATGATGCACAATGCGCATGGCTTCAGGAAGGCCGCCACGCCGGCCGAGGTAGCAGATCCGGAGACAGGTTCTTCTGGGCACAGTGCGGTCTTCAGAGTTCGTACATGATTTTGTGATCACAGCAGTCCCAGTCAACTAGCTCGTTGCTGCGGAACCACAGACTGATTTCCCGCTGGGCCGTCTCCACGGAATCGCTGGCGTGGACGACGTTCCTGTTTCCACAGGAGAGAAAAAAGACATGCGCGGTGAGGGCGCTGGAAACATCAGGGCTCACCGCGAAACTCAACACTGTTCCCATCTGGCTGGCCGCCAAGCATCCTGGGAACCCGAGTGTGCCGCATGATGGAGTGAGCTCCCGTCTGTAGTTCCAGCTCCTGCCAACCTGGCAGTTCGAAAGCAAGACATTGCAAGGAGATAAATAGGTACCCCTTCAGTGGGAAGGTAACAGCGTTCCGTGCGCCTTGGTGTTTAGTCATGCCGGCCACATGACCACGGAAACGTCTCCGGACAGCGCTGGCTCTTCGGCTTTGAAACGGAGATGAGCACCGCAACCCTAGAGTCGGACTCGACTGGCTTTCAAGCAAGGGAACCTTTACCTTTAGCAGTAGAAAAGAGCGAGAGAGTCCAGGAGCACCTTCAAGACTAACAAAATCTGTGGCAGCGGATGAGCTTTTGGGCGTCACGGCTCACTTCTGCAGTATCCGAAGACGCTTATGAAAGCTCCTCCCCTGCCACGTATTTTTGTTAGTCTTTAAGGTGCTCCTGGACTCTCGCTCTTTTCTACAGCTTATTATTTATTTGTTCATTTAAAACATTTATTTCACATCTCCTGGAGAAAAGAGCCGGTTTGGGAGTTGGACTGCATGGCATTATACCCTCTCGAAGTCCCTTCTGTCCTGGGAGCCCACCCTCCTGGGCTCCACCCACAAATCTCCAGGTACTTCCAAACGTGGAGTTGGCAACCCTAGTGAGAATCCTTCCTTGGAGACCCCTGGCGTAGCCTACCACCCCAAGAGACTACAAGTCCCAGCCTGCAATGTTCCCCCTAAGCCGTGGAGTCGTGTGAGCAAAAATGCTAATTTGTGAGCTGCTAATTTGTGAGCTGCTGGCATGAAAGCTGTGAGTAAGCGATTTGGCTGCTGCATCAGTCAGTTTGCCCTGGAGCCCCATCCTTCCTGAGCGGAGACAAAAATGCATGAGCTGGAGGCTAGAAAACTGTGAGCTAGCTCATTCTAACTCAGCTTAGAGGGAGCACCTGGACTCCCAGGATTTTCTGGGAAGGAGGAATGGCTACGAAGGCAGTTTGCATCTCTAACATGGATATTCCCTAAGCAGCCAGGATCGGACTGTGAACCTCCCTCATTCAGGGCTGATTCACAATAGTCCTTCTGTCGAGATAAATGCTCTCTCTTAGTCAGCCAAGAGCTCTTAGTCACGGGGTTCACTGTAACAGGAAGCTAATTCGAATGTTAAACTATATTTTTTATAATTTCATTCCTTTTAACTCTCAACAGATGGGGAAGGCAAAGACAAGGATGAGGCTACTGGATTTGAATTTCAAGACGTTTCTAATCCAGTCATTCATCTAAAACCGGTGTTTCTATTTATACCGTTTTCCAGGCATTACTTTATTAAACACGGGTTCTGATTTTTGACCTGGGACTGGAACGGGAGTTGGCAGTCTCCAGAACAGCCCCTTTGTACTACTCTAATATCTCCTGAGGAAGATCCAATTTTGAAACGTCGTCATATAATCCGGAGACGGCGTTGATGATGTACCGACGCACAAGGATTTCCTTATGATTTATTAATGGTGTTGTGGTGCTTTAGATTGTAATACACGGGAAGCTTTTTCTTTGCAAGTCTTGGCGGCTGCTTGATTTGTGGGTCAGACTCTCACGACTGCTGTCTTTATACTCATTTTCTGCTGTTTAGGGCTGCCAGGTCTGACTCAGGAAATATCTGGGGACTTTGGGGGTGGAGCCAGGAGCCAGGGTGTGACGTCACTTTTGTGATGTCACTAGGGTTGCCAACCAGTATCCCCTCTAAGCTGAGTTAGTGTGAGCTAGCTCACAGGTTTTAGCCTCCGGCTCACACGTTTTAGTCTCCGCTCAGGAAGGACGTGGCTCCCGAGCAAACTAATTTATGCGGTAGCCAAATCGCTCGCTCACAACTTTAATGCCAGCAGCTCACAAAGTAGAACTTTTGCTCACAAGACTCCACAGCTTAGAGGGAGCATTGGTTGCCAGGTGAGGCCAATACGCCAGAAGGAAGTTCCGGCCATCACATTTAAAGGGACTGCGTTCCTTTTAAATGCTTTCCCTCCATTGGAAATGTGGATAGGGGCACCTTCTTTTGGGGCTCCTAGAATTGGACCCCGTAGTCTAACCTTTTTGAAATTTGGGGTCCGCCCCCCCCGGAGAAAGGCACCACCAGCTATGCTGAAAATTTGGTGCCTTTACCTCAAAAAGCTGCCCCCCCCCGAGCCCCAGACACCCACGGATTGATTATCCATTATATCCTACTGGGACCAGTTTCCATAGAGTATAATGGAGCGCCTAGCGGCCATTCCTTCTCCCTGGCTTTCTGAGAGCCCTGAAGTAGAGGGAAGGGTCTCCAAACCAGGGGATCCCCTCCACCAACTCTGGACTGGCAACCCTACCACATTGGCCCTCTAGAGTAACTGGCTGGCCATTGAATGAGACAGGATGCCCCTCCCCCAAACACTGGCCTGAGCCAGCAGGGCTCTCCTAAGGTTCTTCTGCTGATTCCTCCATTTCATATCTTTATTAAAGACACAGGAGCAAGCCCGGCTCTCGACCTGACCAGTCTTCCATACAGGTCAGCTTTCCATACCATTGCAATTGGACCCTGCCGCATTCCTGGCCAAACGGTTAATCCAGCCCTGTTTGCTTGCCAGGCCGTTTGAGTTAACCTGGACAATTTACACTGGCCACATCTCTCCTACCGCGAGCGTTCACAGGCCGGAGGCTCCGATCAAGGTCTGAGTCCAGTGACATTTGTCACGACACGGCTGGGCCCTCCTCTCTCGTACCTGCTGACATGGATGCTGAAGTCTCCGCGGACAGTGCCCGGCTTGGCTTCGGCAGGGTTCGTCTCTCCCACCACGACTCTGCAGGTCTTGACAACGTTGTGGCCTTCCCACACCTGCAACAGATCCAGGGAGGGGTTCCAAACTCAGCACACCCAGGGCTCCAAGACAGCATCCTAGACTAGGGCAGGAGACTCGGGTTCAAATGTCCACTCGGCCCATGACGCTCTCTGGGAAACCCTGGGCCAGTCCCACACCCTTTCTTTCAGCCTAACATACACCTCACAGTCTCGCTGTGAGGCGAAAACAAAAGAGGGGAGAACCGTTTAAGCTACCCAGAGCTCCTTCAATGAAGCGAATAGTTAAACAGTATAGAAACAATGGTGCTTTTCTGCACTCACTGGGGGCTCGAGGGTTGGAATAAGATCTAGGAAACCCCGGTTCTAATCCCCACTCTGCCATGGAACCTTGCTAGGTAACCTCGGACCCATCACGCTCCACCTCACAGGGCTGTTATTGCAAAGCCTAAAATGTAGGAGAGGAAAGCAATGTTGTAAACAGTAGGAAAGTGCAAGAGTCCAGTAGCACCTTCACTAGCAAACTTTGTGGCAGGGTAGGAGCTTTCAGGAGTCACTGCTCACTTCTTCGGATTCAGCTAGACTGGGAGTCCATCTGTCCTATATACTGGAAAGTGGACTGATTTCAGATGCCGAATGACATCAGCAGGCAAATGACAATACAAAGTGTGATTGGATTAGGTGTGATTATGCAGAGAGGTAGTAGGCGGGGAGAAATCAGCACTGATAATGAGACAGGAAACCTAGGTCTCGATTCAGTCCATGAGGATGCATTGTCTCGAGCTTCATTACTAGTTGCAATTCAGCAGTCTCTCTTTCTAACATCCCTTTGAAACTCCTTTGCAAGAGAACTGCTACTTTCAGGTCAGCAGCTGAATGTCCTGGAAGGTTAAAAGGTTCCCCCACAGGTTTTTGAATGTTGTGGTTCTTGATGTCAGACTTAATTCTTTGGCGGAGGGACTGTCCTGTTTGTCCAGCAGTGCAGAGGGTGGAAGGGCGTTGCTGACCCATGATGGCATAAATCACATTAGAGGATGAGCAGGAGTCGGAACCTGAGACGGCCTGGCTGATGTTGCTGGGTTTGTTGCAGCCCTTGGTACCAGAGCCCACGCGACTGTTCAGTAGTTTATCATTGCGGGTGAGAAGTTGTTGTAAGTTCAGAGGTCATTTCGGGGGGGAACGCGGGGGATCACAGTTCCCCCGGGTGAGGTACCGGGGGGCGGGGCACATGACGAAGCCCCGCCCCCCGCTTCCGGCCGCCCCGCTGTGTGGCATATGCTAATGAGTTATGCTAATGAGTTCCCCTAGCTCTTTTTCTACGAAATGACCCCTGTGTAAGTTAGCAGGCTGTCTGTATGCTTCACTATCTATCACTGTGTAATTTTATTCTGTCGTCATGTTGTGAACAGCTCTGGGTCCCCGTGGGAGAGAAAAGTGGGGTACAAATATTGAAACGAATACGATAAATAAAAGACTAAGATGCAGAGACTAGCCCGGTGGGGTTTATAGATGTAGGAGGCGAAGGCGTGAATCACTGGACAGCCTTGGGCATTCTCTCTATGACACCTTGCAGAGTTGTTGTGAAACCGGGGGGGGGGGGGCTTAATTTGAGCATGAATTTAAACAGTCCTGGTTTCCCATAAACTGGAAACAGGCTAGGCTGGCCCCCTTCTGATTTATTTAATGCATTCTTGATCCCAACCTTCCTCCAAAGAGCTCAGAGTGGAGTGCATGGTCCTCCTCACCTCCTCCTTTTTATCATCTCAACAACAACCTTGCAAGGTTGGTTAGGTGGCGAGAGAAAGGCCGCCCCAGGTATGCATTTAAGCTGGAAGGCTCTTGGCTGCAGTCACAGGAGAAAGACTGCTGTAATATAGTAGCGCTACCTTTGCGGATTTAAAGAGTAGGATCGGACAGCAACATCTGCCTTCCGTGCCCCACTCGTTGGCACCCCGTGTTGCCCTGCTTTGGAAGCAGAGTAACCAGGCACCGGGGAAAGTCCAGTGTTTACGGACGCCAGCGCTTCCACCCCGCTTTCCCTGACGTCTGAACTCTCCTGCTGCGAAAGGAACCCAGAAGGGAAGTCTGAACCCGCAGATCCATTTCCACCACCGTGTTGTTGTTGTTTTGGGGGGTGCTGCCTATATGCACATATGTGCATGAGCGCATATGCGCATGCAGCTGCCTGCATTAAAACAAAAACAACTGGGCAACGTGCTCTGTATTTGAGGCAATGCAGTAATGTGAATGGCTGTCCACCAGACGAGCACGTGGGGAAAACCGCCCCAGGGTGTGCTGTCTGGTTGGTTTGCCCCGCAACACTTTAAACCGGCGCAATTAGTGGCGCGCCCAGATTGTGGCAAGCCTCCCAGTGTGCCTTTCACTGTAGTCAACCTGCAGTCAAGCCGCTGTCGTCAGGGATACTATGTCATTGCTTTTGACCCCCTCTATCGCTGATACATTTCATTGCTTGTTGACTTAAACATATTTCTTACTTGTGAAATCCTGCACTGGAAGATATGAACTTATCCAGTCCTAGCTTCTAAAAGGCGAGTGCTCTGATAGCATCTGGGATAGGGGTCCCCCCCCCCGTATGTGAAATCACTTGCTAGTTTTCGTGATTCAGCGTCTCTGCAGCTTGTGATATTGGTAGATGAGCAGATGGAAACTCAGCTGCTTGTACGTTCCAAGGCTATATAGAGACATGCGTAATTTGAGCAGCTGAAGCACACTTATCTGTTGTTTAGGTAGACACTGTTCTCTTCTGGGGAAACCGGGCTTTTCCGCAAAGGCCAGCTGTGCACAGCACTGATTGGCTAGTATCAGTGACACCTTTTAAACCATGCTCCTGCAGCGAGCCTCCTAACAGTTGTTAGATCTGCATCAAGTACATTTGGTTTCTTCCCATGCCATTGAAAGATTCTCCTTCTAATTTCCGCTTGTCACATCCTTGATCAAGAGCAGAGGGCAAGCCTATTTCTTCCCCCTAACCTATTAGCAACCCTACTGGATCGTAACTCATGTTATTCACATGTCTCTCCACTCTTCCTCCTCAAAGCAGTTTTTTAAACATTTTTAAAAAGGCTGCTGTGTCCATATTTAATATATGTAAGTGCTGTGCTTAAAAAAAATATTAAGGCAGAAAATATTTAAGAAGGAAAGGGACGAGGCAGACTGCTAAATCAATATCCAATTTGCAGGCCAGTAAAGAGGTTGCAAAGGCGAACCAGAGTGAAGCTGTGATGGAGTTTCAGGAGGAAAAAAACATTGCAATGAGTCCTGATCAGCATGCATTTTAAACTCCCTAAAAGGTTTTTGTTTGTTTGTTTGTTTTATGCAGGCCTTGCACTGGGTGTTTGACAGTGCCTGCATTTCTTGCCGTTCCAGACAGGTGGTAAATAGAGTTTTTGAAGCAGGGTGGGCGTCTATACACGCCTGAGAGGTCTGCTTTAGAAAGCCAATACGGTGCACTGGCAAGAGACTACCGTTGGGGGACCCAGATTCAAATCTTGCTTTTGAAGCTCATTAGACCTGGGGTCCCTCTCTCTGCCCCCGTAACCCAGGTCTCTGCAACCTTTCTGGAGCCCGCAAGGCACCTTTGGAATTCTGACACTGGCTGCCAATGGCTGCCAAAAGAGAGTGAGACCAGGCACAACTGAAATAGGACCCCCTCCACAGTTTCAGGCCGAAGCTCTCTTTAAGAGGACTCCTTTAACGTGAGCATATGGCCTTAAAATATGTCCTTGGATATGCACAGTTGACCTTCAGTCACGCAGGGAAGATCCCTGTGCTGTGGCGGCAGCTGCTGTTGAAGTGACTTTTAAAAAATCCGCACAGCCAATCAGCTCTTCAGTGGCCAATCAGAAGCCAAGCCCTATCTGTCCCAGTTAACTTTCTAAAAACACTGGGTGGGTGCCGGTAAGTGTTTGTGGGCACCAGGGTGCCTGTCTGCACCACGTTGGGGAGGCCTGACCTAACCTACCACACTGGGTTAGAAGAAAGGGTTTTTAAAATAGTGGGCAGGTGGGGGGGGGGAGAGTCCCAGGCATGTCGCCCTGAGCACCTGGAAGGAAAGGCAGGATCAAAAGATAACAGAGAGAGAGAACAGAGGATAGGATCACCATCTTGAAGGGCTGTCCTTTGGAGGATGGTGCGGAGTTGTTTTCTGTTGCCCCAGAAGGTCGGACCAGAACCAGCAGGTTGGAATGAAATCAGAAGAGTTTTTGGCTAAACATTAGGAAGAACTTCCTGATGGTCAGAGCGGTTCCTCGGTGGAACAGGCTTCCTCGGGAGGTGGTGGGCTCTCCTGCTTTGGAGGTTTTCAAGCAGAGGCTGGATGGCCCTATCTGACAGCAATGCTGATGGTGTGAACTCGGGCAGATCGTGAGAAGGGAGGGCAGGGAGGGTTGCCGCCTCAGGGCTTAGTTCTTGTGGCCCTTTCTGACAAGCCCAGGGAAATGCTGATCTCCGCTTTGGGGTCAGGAAGCAATTTTTCTCCAGGCCAGTTTGGCTGGAGATCCTGGAGGTTTTTTGTCATCTTCTGGGTGTGGAACAGCGATCACTGGTGTGTGTGTTGGGGGGGGGGAAGTATTTGTGAATTCCCTGCATTGTGCAGGGGGTGTTCCCTCTAAGCTGTGGAGTCTTGTGAGCAAAAATTCTACTTTGTGAGCTACTGGCATTAAAGTTGTGAGCGAGTGATTTGGCTACTGCATAGATTAGCTTGCTCTGGAGCCATCCCTTCCTGAGCGAAGACAAAAATATGTGAGCCAGAGGCTAAAAAACTGTGAGCTAGCTCACACTAACTCAGCTTAGAGGGAACAGTGGGTTGGACTAGATGGTCCTGGGAGATCCCTTCCCAACTCTAGGATTCTATGACTTGGCATGGAGGCATCAGTAATTCGGGATTATTCCTTGTCTATGTGGGCAAATTCTCTCCCATTACATCAGCGCACAAAGAGATGCTTTGGGTGTGTGTGTGTGTTTGTGTGTGTCACAATCTCTGTGTCCACATCCGCTCCACATCCAAGATGCAAGAGCCTGTCTGGGAGCCTCTGCTCCTGCCCCGGCTTACCATGGCCACCACAGGCCCAGAGGTCATGTACTGGATCAGCTCATGGTAGAAGGGCTTCCTCCGCAGCTCGTGGTAATGTTCTGCTAGGATCCCCTCGTTGGCCTGCAAGAAAGAAGGTGGAATGTCTTGGATCGCACAGGCGGGAACCCCTCCTCAGTAGCCCCCACGCTGCTGGGCACCCACTTCAGTCCTCTGCATTGGACGGCTGGTGGCAGAAGCCAAACACTGGGACTCCCTCCCTTGGAAGGCTCACCTGGTCTTGTTTACTGGGACTAGGAAGAGCTTTTTAATTTAGATTGGACTTTTTGGTCTCCGGATTCCAACATTCATTGGAGGAAGACCTCAGAGAAGAAGAGGAGATTGGATTCATACCCCATGGCCCTTGACTACCCAAAGGAGTCTCAGAGTGGCTGACAAACTCCTTTCCCTTCCCCTCCCCACAACAGACAGACACCCTGTGAGGTAGGCGAGGCTGAGAGAGCTCTGACAGAAACCGCTCTCCCCTCCCCACAACAGACACCCCTTGTGAGCAATGTTCCCTCTAAGCTGTGGAGTTTTGTGAGCAGAAACTCTACTTTGTGAGCTGCCGGCATTAAAGCTGTGAGCAAGTGACTTGGCGACTGCATAAATTAGCTTGCTCTGGAGCCATCCCTTCCTGAGCTAAGGCAAAAATGTGTGAGCTGGAAGCTAAAAAACTATGAGCTAGCTCACACTAACTCAGCTTAGAGGGAACACTGCTTGTGAGGCAGGTGGGGCTGAGAGAGCTCTCTCGAGAACTGCCCTGGAGAGAACAGCTCTGAGAGAACTTGTGACTGACCCAAGGTCACACCAGCAGCTGCATGTGGAGGAGGAGTGGGGAATCAAACCCGGTTCTCCCAGATTAGAGTCCGTGCTTCTAACTACTGCTGTGGAGGGACTTCAGAGGTCCCTCCACAGTCTTTTCTCCAGGGGATCGGATCTCTGCAGTCTGCAGGTCAGTTGTAATTTCAGATCTCCAAGCCCCATCTGAAGGCTGGGAGCCCCACAGACACTGGCTGTTGTTGCTGTTGTTGTTTATTCTGGGCTGAAATAAATCATTCTGTGTACAGTGGGGCAAATTATACTTGACCCTTCCTTTCACAGGCGATAGAGATCAGTTCCCCCGGAGGGAGAAACGGTCACTTTGTAAGGTGGATTCTATGACCTTATACCCCGCTGTAGCCACACGCACCCAAAATCCACCCTCCTCGGGCTCCACCCACAAAATCTCCAGGTATTTCCCAACCCAAAGGTGGCAACCCTGCTTCCCTCCCTCCCATTAAAGCTGGTGCTGAAAAGGTCATACCAGAATCAAAGCTTCTGTGCGTACAGATCACTGCCAGGCAGGGTTGCCAACTCTGGGTTGAGAAATACCTGGAGATCTGTGGGGTGGAGCCTGTGGAGGGAGGGGCGGGACCTCAGCGGGGTGTACTGTCATCCGGTCCACCCTCCAAAGCAGCCATTTTCTCCAGGGGAATCGATCTCTGTCACCTGAAGGTTAAGTTGTAATTCTGGGAGATATCCAGGCCCCACGTGGAGGCTAGTACAAAAACTGAGGGTCACGGTATTAGGAAGATATGGAAAAATATATGGCACTGTGTATAACAGATGTATGCTTAAGGTAGATCTATTTTGTGCTTTTTATTTTTCTTTCCATAATTTTTCTATACTATTATATAAATATTGGTGTCAAGTATTACCAAATAGAGGCTCGCCAAAATAATACATCAAAGCCCCAAATGTGTGGTTGCCCGATAGAGCTTGAGAGACACGTTCTCCTAGATAAGTTATTATGTTTGCCGCAAGGGTTCCGATCAGACCCTAGGAAAATGCTGCTATTTTAAGAGCTTTATACTCACAAAGATAATTTCATTGCACCCTATGTCTTGTACGTATATCGCTATCCTTGAAAAAGATTGTATTTGATACACGTAAATTACTAGAGTCCCCTGAGACTAGCAATTGTGAAACGGACAAGATGCTGTTTGAACATAGTGTAAAAACCTGCACTTATTAAACGGAGACTGCTTGACCTGGAACTTCAAGTCTTACGTCCTACACAATTTAGCCTATTTTCTCAGGCTCAGTTGAATCTCCCATTTCAATATGGCCAGATGGCCCACTATCTTCACAACTTATTCCAGCCTTTGCACCGTAGAGCCTTTACACTAGCCTGACTAAATGAGTTCCCTTCAAAAGAGCTTTCAGGCCGGTTTAAGAAAATTCCCTTTCATGAAAGGTTATGTTCTTGTCCTTTAAAATCTATGGACTCAATATATCATATTATTTTTGACTGCCAATTTCACTCAGTCTTATGCAAAGAATTGTTGTCATCTTTATTTCCTCCTAATTATAGTTCAAATAGGGAAAAGGTTATTCAAAATCTACTAAAGGATGCTAATCCTAATATTACAGCTATCGTGGCCAAGTTTCTTGCCGAAGTAGTCAAAGATAGATCTATTCTAGTCAAGGATTGATTCATATTGCTTATAATGTCTTATATATCCATGCCGTGTTATTGTACATCTATGTATCTTACTGCTATGCCATTAAAGGCAGGGGTCATTTCCTGCAGGAGCGCACAGGAGCGGAGCTCCAGCTGTAAAGAGCCCAGGGGGCGGGGCACATGCAACAAACCCCGCCCCCTGCTCCCAGAAGCCCTCACTCAGAGCAAGAAGCAGCCAGGTAAGCTGCAGAGCCCCTCCCCCGCCCCCCCCCCGTCCAGAACAGTCCAGTGGCACCTTTAAGGCCAAGTCTTATTCAGGCACAAGCTCTCCCTCCTCTGCGAGGACAGATCTGCGCGTTCCCCCCCCCCCCAATAGCTAGCAATCCAAAAGAGTCCAGTGGAGCCTGAGCGGTGGGAGTGGCCTTCTGACACACTCCTGGTGAGGTCAGGGGGTGTGGCATATGCAAATGTTACGCTAATGAGTTACGTGAATGAGCTCCTGCACCTCTTTTTCTACAAAATGACCCCTGATTAAAGGTATTTGACTTTGACAAACCTGCACTTTGATGTATTATGTTGGTGATCCTCTGTTTGGTAATACTTGACACCAATATTTATATAATGGCATAGAAAAATTAAGAAAATAAAAATAAAAAGCACAAAACAGAGCTACTTTAAGCCTACTTCTATGGCACACAGGGCCACAGATTTTCCCACACCGACCTGGAGGTTGGCGGTCCCACCACGGCTTTACCTGCAACAGCTTCAGGCCGACGAGCTTGAAGCCCCGTTTCTCAAAGCGCTGGATGACGTCCCCCACCAGCCTCCTCTGGACCCCGTCCGGCTTCACCGCTATCAGGGTGCGCTCCTGCAGGCCGGGGATGCCTGTCAGGCCAAGAAAATGAGAAGGGAAACCAGCTGTGTTAAAAACACACACAGCCACTGAGACACTGGAAAGAGCCACTTGCCAAACACTGAATTTCAAAACTGATCAGGAGAAATAAAGTTAAGTTTCTAGTTCTCATGGCCGTGGTGGACATGGTCGGCTCATGCAAGCATCCTGTTTCCTTGTACAAACGGCCGCAAAGGCCATGGGATTGCTTCTTGTAACAAGGCACCCATTTCCTCTACTTGGTTCCTAGTTCCTGGAAGTTTGTGCCATAAGCTGATCAGGCACCACCCGTATTCCCACACCACTGCTTGCTTTTCAGTCGCTACCAACACACTTACGAGAAGACCCGAGCAGGGGTCATTTCCTGCAGGAACGCACAGGAGCAGAGCTCCGGCAGTAAGGAGCCCAGGGGGCGGGGCACATGCAACAAGCCCCGCCCCCGCTCCCAGCAGCCCTCAGTCAGAGCAAGAAGCAGCCAGGTAAGCTGCAGAGGCCCCCCCGGTCCAAAACAGTACAGTGGTACCTTTAAGACCAAGTTTTATTCAGGTACCAGCTCTCCCTCCTCTGCGAGGACAGATCTGTACCTTCCCCCCCCGCAATAGCCAGCAACCCAAAACAGTCCAGTGGAGCCTGAGTGGTGGGTGTTGCCTTCTGACACACTTCCGGTGATGTCAGGGGGTGTGGTGTATGCAAATGAGTTATGCTAATGAATTCCTGCACCTCTTTTTCTGCGAAAGGACCCCTGGGCCTATTTCCATTGGCTTCACATGTTCTTTTAATGAAGGGTTCCAGGTCTCCCCTGGCCACTGGTGGGGGATGGGGGTGTAGGCTGGCCAAATCCAGGTAGAGGAACTCCTGGAGATTTGGGGGTGGAAACCTCCAAAGGACGTTTAGAAAACCTACTGAGGGCCGAAGGTTAAAAACATAAGTAAGTGTGCACAAGAGTGTTTATTACAAAGACATGTAGAAACCTAATAGGGGCCCAAAATTAAGCCTCATAAAATGTTCAAAGTTACAAATACACAAAAAAGGACAGTGTGTGACCTGACGCGTTTCGGCTCGCAAAAGCCTCCTTCAGAGGTCAAATAGCACCAAAGACAACAAGCAACAGAGTCCCTGTAACAGATTTAAGGCAATTAACAATAAATGAAATAGGTAGGCCTTGTTTGAGGGTTTCCGTTTGAGAGGGGTCTGGAGAGGCACTGTAAAAATTTGGTCAAAGTCAATCAGTCCGTACATCTCCTTGCCCTGGAGACGAGAGACATCCGTTTTTCAGAGATTTAACGTCTAGAATTCGAGGAAGGAAGGGGAACCCCTGAACAGTGGCACGGCTAGCAACTCAAAGTGAACAAAGTCAGAGTCCAACAAAGACCAACAAAGTGGGTCGTAAAGGTGCCGTTGGCCTCTAGCTTTGTTCGATTGCTTCAGACCAACACGGCTACCCACCTTGACCTATGTAACTCAAAATGAAAGCATTTTCAAAAGGTATCTCCCCAGGGATGCCAGCCTCCAGGTGGGACCTGGGGATCCCCTGGAATCACAGCCCATCTCCTGGAGATGTTGGGGGTGCAGTCCTGGGAAGGTGGGGTTTGGGGAGGGAAGGGAATTCAGCAGGGTACAAATGCCATAAAGACCAACTTCCATATCAGCCTTTTTCTCCAGGGGAACTGCGCCTGGTACCATTCACTAGATGGCCCTGGAAACTCTATATCCCCCCCCCAAAGGGGGAAATCAGGACAAGGGCTTAGCAGAGACAGAAGTGGACAGGAACTGTCCCCACAAGGCCGGCAGGTGTGCAGGAGAGCATCTCACGACACCCTCTCTGTCTGCGCAGAACAATCCTGAAATCAAACAGCCGTCCTGTCTGATGCCCTGAACCAAGCGCACTTTGCCCCAGAATCCTCTGCAACCTTGAAAGGTAGAAAGTCTGACCACCGCCAGTTCAGGTCCTGAAACCCACCAGCCACATCGATATTTCAGCAAGGCTTTCTGCCAAACAGCCGCTGTCCAAACACGGGCAGAGGGCCACGGAAAAAGGAAATATTTGCAGAAGCGCACGCTGGTTTCACGTCGGGTTGCTCAACTGTGGGCCGCTGTTCTGTTCACGGGGGCTTCACACTGACATGTTATGTTACATCCTGGCAGCCTCCAGTTCCATCCATACGCCATTCACGTCTGAACACAGGAAGCCGCCTTATACTGAACCAGCCTGTCGGTCCATCAAGGTCAGGACTGGCAGACGCACTCCAGGGTCTCAACGGGGGTCTTTCAGATCACCCACTGCCAGATCCTTTAACTGGCGATGCCGGGGATTGAACCAGGGACCTTCCGCATGCCAAGCAGAGGCTCTTCCACTGAGCCACAGGCCCTATCAAGATCACTGTTGTCTGTTCTGACTATTAGCGGTTCTCCAGGGTCTCAGGTGGAGGTCTTTCACATCACCCACTACCTGGTCCTTCTACCTGGGGATGCCGGGGATTGAACCTGGGACCTTCCGCATGCCAAGCAGAGGCTCTTCCACTGAGCCACAGGCCCTGTCAAGGTCACTCCTGCCTATTCTGACTATTAGCAGTTCTCTAGGCTCTCAGACGTCTTTCACACCACCTACTATCTGGTCTTTTGAAATGGACCCATCCAAATTAGCTCCTTTCCTCGGCTGCTTTTTTTAACATGAAGGGGAGGTTCCATTATAGATCACCAATATAACCCACAGTCTGTTCCTCCAAAGCAGAGTTTTCAAATTTTGAGAGATGCATCAGAATCCTCAAAACTAGCTACGACGAACAGGTGGTGATGGTGGTGGATCAGGACCACAGTGCAGCCCAAGGGTAGAGATTAATTAACCTCTTCCCTTCCCCATACCATTTCCCCAATGTCTGTCGGTCCACTGGAGGGCACTATTTGCCCAAACAGGAACAACATAAGCTGCCATGGTAGATGGCCAACATTGCAACAATTCTGGCAAACCATGACCAGAGGGCAGCCTCACTATTTGTGCTCAAAAGTGCCATCGATGGTTTTAACACTATGCTTCTAGAGCGAGGGTATTTCATCCCCATGTTTTTTGTTACAGCTTATGGCTGGGACAAATAAAACGGAACTGAACTTTCCTAACTAGAGGAGAAAAGAAGAGAAGAGAGAAAAAGAGATTGGATTTATACCCCGCCCTTCAATCAGAGTCTCAGAGCGGCTTACAGTCTCCTTTCCTTTCCCTTCCCCTCCCCACCACAAACACCCTGTGAGGTAGGTGGGGCTGAGAGAGCGCTTTCGAGGACTGCCCTTGAGAGAACAGCTCTGAGAGAACTTGTGACTGACCCAAGGTCACACCAGCAGCTGCAAGTGGAGGAGTGGGGAATCAAGCCCGGTTCTCCCAGATTAGAGTCCACGCCCCCATAGGCGTAATCTTCGTGGGGGCGGCGGGGCGTCAGCCCCCACCGAAATTTTCAGGAAGGTGCTCAGCCTCCCCCGGGAGCCACCCTTGCTCCTAGCAAAGCAATGCCTCTGGCCCAGCCCCCCCTCCCCCCGGGAAATTGGAAAGTCTACACCCTTGCACGCCCCTGATGTCTACACCAAACTGGCTTTTTGGGGGGCCCGAGAGGGGAGGGCTTCCTTTTCCATTCCAGTTTTAAGTCTCTTGAGTACATTTTTATCTTGCCTTTCCTTGAGGGAGTTTAGGCTGGCAAATATGGGTCTACTTCCCCCCCCATCTTAATCCTACAGCAACCAAGTAAGGTGTGCCCGGCGGGGCGGGGGGAGGAAGACACTGGACTTCAGCCAGACAGCTTCATCACAGTGTGGGGGATTTGAACCTGGGGTCCCCTAGGCCCTATTCTGGTGTGCCTAGTCACTGGTCCACAATGACCCTCTTTAAGTGACATCTATCTAGACCAGTGATGGCGAACCTTTTAGAGACCGAGTGCCCAAACTGCGACCCAAAACCCACTTATTTATCGCAGAGTGCCAACACGGCCATTGAACCTGAATACGGAGGTTTTACTTTAGAAAAAACAACTCACACATTAACATCAGATGATCCAAACAAAGTGAGGAAAGGAATCCCAAATGCTTTCATTTACTTAAAATTATTTGGCAGAGAATCCGACACTTTAATGACGGTCTGGTCCTGGCTGAAGCGATGGCACGCGTGCCCACGGAGAGGGCTCTGAGTGCCGCCTCTGGCACCCGTGCCATAGGTTCGCCACCACTGATCTAGACGGTACCTAGGAATTCAGGGAAGCAGAATAAAAGACGTGTCCATAAAAACCTTGCAGTGCACAGATCAGTCTCCTCCACCCACCCCACCACCAGCCTTCCTCCGTCCCTAGCCACAGAAGACGGGCGGCTTTGGAAAGCCAGGGAGGGCGTGAGTCGGGAACCTTTGGGAAAGGGGAAGAGGATATTCAAGGGACCGGGCGGTGGGGGGGTGGGGTGGGAGAGAGAGAAGGAAACATGCAGCTCGGCCTGGGATTTCTCTAAGGCTGCGGGGGGGGGGGGAGTTTGCAATCTTCAAAACAAAACAGCTCCGGAGGAATCGCAGCCTGATGCTCAAACTAGAAGATAAGCTGGAACATAAAAGTATCCCTTGGCCTTAAAAAAAAAAAGTCAAGGCAGCCCAGAGGGACTTGGGGCTTAAATGCAACAGTAATGGGAGGGAAGGGTGGGCCGCTCTAGCCTTTCACCGAGGGTCACTGAAAATTGTCTTCTTCCAATGCCCCCCTGCCCCCCGGGAAGACACCGTCTTGGATGCAGACTCTTTTTGCCCCACGGCTGAGAAATTAACACTTGAGCAAGAACGGTGTAATGGTTAGAGTATTAGACCAGGACCTCAGGAGACTCGGGTTTGAATCCCCACTCGTGCCATGGAAGCTTACCAGGTGACCTTGGAGCAGTCACATACTCTCCACCTAACTTAACTCGCAGGGTTGTTGTGAGGATAAAACGGAGGAGAAGAGAAGCTGCTTTGGGTCTCCACTGGGGAGAAAGGGGGCATACAAACGAAGTAAACCAAAATAAATACATGTGAGTG